AATATGCCCGTTCCTATGGCCAGGCTCCACCACTTGTCTGTCAGTTTGTCGCACCGTAGTGGCTTGTGTGTTGCTGTGATGCTGGAAGCTATGCCACCGGTATTTCAAATACCAGCCGGGTCACCCGTGGTGGACAGATTTCAGCGGAGATTCCAGACTGAGACAGACTAGGAAGAAGGGCCGGCATCTACTTCTAAAAGAAATTGGCCAGTGAATACCTTAAGAATAGCAGCAGAACGTTGATACAGTGCTGGAAGATAAGGCCCTCAGGTTGGAAGGCACTCAAAATCCTACTGGGAAAGAGCTGCCTCCTCAAAGTAGAGTCAACTTTAATGATGTGGATGAAGTCAAGCTGTCGGGACCTTCATTTTGCTGATGTAGCACGACTCTAAATGAGAAGAAACAGCTGCAAACATCCATTAATAATCAGAACGTGGAATGTACAAAGTATGAATCTAGGAACATTGGAAGTCATCAGAAATGAAATGGAAGGCATAAAGATTGATATCCTACTCATTAGTGAGCTAAAGTGGACTGGTATTAGCCATTTTGAATTGAACAATCATATGGTTTACTCTTCCGGGAATCACAAATTTAAGAGGAATGGCATCACATTCATTATCAAAAAGAACATTTCAAGATCTATCCTGAAATACAACATTATCAGTGATAGGATAATATCCACATGCCTACAAGGAAGACTGGTTAATACGACTATTACTCAAATTTACGCACCAACCACTAAGGCTAAAGATGAAATTGAAGATTTTTACCAACCTCTGCTGTCTGAAATTGATCAAGCATGCAATCAAGATGCATTGATAATTACTGGTGATTGGAATGCAAAAGTTGGAAACAAAAAAGAAGGATTGGTAGTTGGAAAATATGGCCTTGGTGATAGAAATGATGCCAAAGATTGCATGATAGGATTTTGCAAGACCAACAACTTATTCATTGCAAATACCTTTTTTCAACAACATAAATGGCAATTATGCACATGGACCTCACCATATGGACAGGAATCAAATCAACTACATCTGTGGAAAGAGATGATGGAGAAGCTCAATATCATCAGTCAGAGCAAGGACAGGGGCCGCCTGCGGAACAGACCATCAGTTGCTCATGTGCAAGTTTAAGTCGAAGCTGAAGAAAATTAAAATAAGTCCATGAGAGCCAAAGTACAACCTTGAATATATCCCACCTGAATTTAGAGACCATTTCAAGAACAGATTTGATGCTTTGGACACTAATGACCTAAGACCAGACGAGTTGTGGTATGACATCAAGAACATCATACATGAAGAAAGCAATAGGTCATTAAAAAGACAGGAAAGAAAGAAAAAACCAAAGTGGATGTCAGAAGAGAGTCTGAAACTTGCTTTTCAAGTCAAGTAGCTAAAGCAAATGGAAGAAATGAGGACGTAAAAGAGCTGAACAGAAAATGTCAAAGGGCAGCTCAAGAAGACAAAGTAAAGTATTATAATGAAATATGTGAAGACCTGGAGTTAGAAAACAAAAGGGAAGAACGTGCTCAGCATTTCTCAAGCTGAAAGAACTGAAGAAAAAATTCAAGCCTCGAGTTGCAACATTGAAGGATTCTGTGGCAAATATTGAATGACATAGGAAGTATCGAAAGAAGATGGAAGGAATACACAGAGTCAGCTGTACCAAAAAGAATTGGTTGACATCCAACCATTTCAGGAGGTAGCTTATGATCAAGAACCAATACTACTGAAGGAAGAAGTCCAAGCGGTACTGAAGGCATTGGCGAAAAACAAGGCTTCAGGAATTGAAGGAATACTAATTGAGATGTTTCAACAAATGGATGCAACACTGGAAGCGCTCACTCGTCTATGCCAAGGAATTTGGAAGACAGCTACTTGGCCAGTCACTGGAAGAGATCCATATTCGTGTCCATTCCAAAGAAAAGTGATCCAATGGAATGTGAAAATTATTGAATAATATTATTTATCTCACACACAGGTAAAAATTTTGCTGAAGATATTTCAAAAACGGTTGCAAGAGTACATTGACAAAGAACCGTCAGAAATTCAAGCCAGATTCAGAAGAGGATGTGGAACGAGGAATACTACTTGCTGATGTCAGATGGATCTTGGCTGAAAGCACAGAATACCAGAAGGATGTTTACGTGTGTTTTATAGACAATGCAAAGGCATGTGACTGTGTGGATAACATTGCAAAGAATGGGAATTTCAGCACAATTCATTGTGCTCACGCAGAACCTGTGCATAGACCAAGTGCAAGGCCTTCTATCCAGAGACCAGAAGAACTAGTTGGTGCCTGGCTACCAATACCAACTGTTCTGATCAAGGCCACAATAGATGGATCCTGATAGAGTGGGAGGAAAATGTGGAACAGAACTCAAATTCTTAAAAAGTCCAGCCTTACTGGACCAGTTGAGACTAGAGGAGTCCTCGAGACTGTTGCCCTAAGATACTCTTTAAACCTTAAATCGAAGCTATCCCCTGAGGTCACCTTTTAGCTAAGTAACAGATTGGCTTGTAAAATAAAGAATATCACCCGTGAGTACTGTGCTTCTTTATAAAAGTCATCTATATGAGACCAAATGGTTAATAATTACTCTAAAGCAAAGATGAGAAGGTAAAGGGGCAGGGAAACTAGATTACTGGAAATGGAAGAACCAGAATGAAAATAATGAGAAAGTTGCCGCATTGTGGAAAATGTAATCAGTGTAATGAACAATTTGTGTAGAAGTTGTTAAATGGGAACCCAATTTGTTGTGTAAACTTTCACTGAAAACACAGTAAAAAAAATTTTTTTTTTTAAAAAGTACAAGGTCTTTTTTCAAGAGGATCACAAAAGGCCAAAACTATAATGGCAGAAAGAGGCTTCAAGAGTCAATCGAGGGTACAAACTATTGAATGGGAAACTAATTTGCTCTGTAAACTTTCACCTAAAGCATAAAAAAAAAAAAAAAAAAGAGTCAACCAAGGGCCCCACAGGCTGGGTAGGAGGTGCTAGTCTAGATTGGCAGGATGGGATGGAATTGGAACTATAGTGAATGATCTATATGCTGTCCCATATTTAATGAAGAATGGGATTCTTTGTTTATATTCCTTCAGCTATAAAACCCTCAAGCTGGAAAACTCTTCAGTGGCTTTAGTAAAAGGTCTTTGTACACCTGTGGACGTATCAGTTTTGCTGGCCTGCAAACAACCTGGGCTCAGGGAGAAGATGCCCTGGGATGTCAAAGGGACCAGGAAGAAGAGCTCAAGTTTGTCCAGCAGTTGGCAGGATGCCTGGTGAGGAGGAAGCGCAGCAGGGGCTCCAGGGTCACACCAACCTCAGCTTGAATCCTGGCCCCATTACTTCCTGGTTGTGTAGCTGTGGGCAACTTTCTTGTTGTCTCTAAGCCTGTGTCTTTGCTGAAAATGGACATATGTTTGGCCTCACAGAGGTCATTATGAAGATCTGAGGAGCCAATGGATTTAAAGCATTTGGCTTTATTGAGCTTGATACCATTAAGCCTTGCACCACACAGTGGGGCTCAGTGAACAATGGCCGGTATCACCCCCTTCTTATGCAAGGAAACTTCTACATACCCAAAGAAGAGTGCGTGACTCTCAGGCCAAGATAACAGGTTCGTTTTAGGCTACTCTGGGACAATTCAGTCCTAAAGACTTTTCCTCCCTACCTAGTGTGAGATCTTAAGGGTGAAAAATGGAAGATGAGCGATATTTCCCTGCGTGGGGTGTGGCATGGATTCTATTATAGATTAATCCGTGTTTACTCTTCTGAACCTACTCAAACCAAGACTAATGGTAAAGGAGGCAGCTACAAACTGTTTAGTAGTAGCTCTCAATAGCCATACACAAGCATGAGATTTGGGCCCCATCCCCTCCCCACCAAAAAAAGAGGGTTACATAAGCAGGGAGGGAGTGGAATGCCCTAAAGAATAAATGACAAGTGGTCCCTACCATGTTTGCACCCATGGTGAATCAATGGGGTCACAGAGAGGTGTGTAGAGTGTGCTGGTCCACTAAAAGTTTCTCTTTGATGAAGTTGAGGCAGTCCTTAACCCTCTCACCAGCACTCTCTCCCAGAGGCCTCCCTGAGGACCAAAGGCTGGCAGCCCATGCCGGATGCCTGAAAGAAACCAGAAAGCCCAGAGCCTGAGATGGTGTCTAGGTGTGTAATAAGCCCCTCTAACGAAGTGGAGAATGAAGCCAGGACTCCATTTGTTGAGGGAATAGAAAGTGGAGGCATTTACATATCCCTTGGCTTTAGTAGGGGCCCTGGTGGCACAGTGGTTGACAGCTTGGCTGCTAACCAAAAGGTTGGCAGGTCAAATTCACCAGCTGCTCCTTGGAAACCCTATGGGGCAGTTCTACTCTGTCCTTTAGGATCTCTGTGAGTCAGAATCAACTCCACAGTAATGGGTTTGGGTTTATTTTTATTTTTATTTTTTTTTGGCTTTAGTAAGGAGCCCTGGTGGTATAGTGGTTAAAGCGCTTGGCTGGTACCCAGAAGGCGGGCGATTTGAAGATATGGCAGTCTGCTTCACTAAAGATTTACAGCCTTCGAAACCCTATGGGGCAGTTCTACTCTGTCCTATAGAGTTACTACAAAGCTATGGACTCCAGGGCAATGGGTTTGGCAGTGGGTTGGCTTTAGCACACAACAGGTGCTGATGGGAGAACTGATTTTCTAATCTCAGACCGCTCTCTCCTGGGGACTGAGGCTCCCTATAGAAGTGGAGGGGAGAGACTGAGACCTGGATTTTGTGGGGAGAGACAGGAGGCCACAGGCAAGAGGCTCTTCCTGGGCACTCAGGACATAGAATCAAATAAAGATCAAGAATTAGACAGGTTGTGGTTTATTGAGTAACAATGGCATCATAGCTGTTATCACTGGTGGAGGTTGTTTGTGGGGGGTAGGGTCCCACTGGGGTCCTGTTCACCTGTCCCACTTACCCCTTCAACCAGAAATCATGGGAGTTAGAGCCAGAATCCTTTCCTCTCTGCACTCTGTGAGTTTACTACCACCAATTCCATCACCAAGCCCTCCTTCCATTTGGATGAGCCATTGATGCCTGGGCCCTTCCTCTTTTGGGGGGTGGGAATGGGGCTGGGAGCAGGGCCAAGCCTTAAGAAAGAGAAGGAGCTAAGGTGAGGGTTTTGCCGAATGTCTAGCAAAGGTCAATGGAACACAAAATGCCCTATGTTAAGTAAGAGTGTACACTTGGCCTAATTGCCCTTGATGGTGTCCTAGTTACACCCACTCAGATGCCCATGGATTTCAAGCACTGCTCTGACAGCTGTGTCTCTCTGTAAGAGGGTGTGTGGAGAGCTCATAAAAGGGAGTACTTGCCCTCCCTTCGTGGCATTTGGTTTAGGGGGTGGGATTGTAGGATTTAGATTTGAGATCATGATGTCAGAGCAGACCAAGAATTCCTAGGATTGTGGAGTGGGGGCGATGGTGAGGGCAGTAGAGGATAAGAGCGCACCTCCATTCTGATAGAGGAGAGGAGAGGAAATGAATTGATTCCAGGATGTAGGGGATGGCACTGAGGGAAGCATATGCCCCCTGCCTCCCTCATCCTAACATGTCTTCCCTTGGTCAGCCCAGTTCCTGAGTCAGCTTTGGAAGCCAGGGATCAGAAATCTAAAGGACTCAGCTCACTTGGGCCTGCTAGGGTCCCTCAGTCTCTGTCCTGAGATCCTGGGGCTCAGTAAGGGGCTTAGCTGGAAGAACAGTTTATGAAAGGCAGTGCTGTAACCTGGCTAGCTGGCAGGTGGGGAAAAGCAGATATCAGAACATCCCAGGACAACACATACGCATGCACACACACACACGCGCACACACACACACACAAACACACATACATTTATGCATAGACACAGAAGCCCAGGAGGGAGGGTTTATCTGACCCTGCTCTTTGACACCAGAGAGTAGAGAAAAAGGCCTTTGGGGGCACCTCCCCTAGCCTAATGTATTGCTGGTCTCCGTGTCCTCCGACAGTCCCCTGCCAGGCAGACAGGGACGTGGCAGAGATGGCAAGGCTCCACTCAAGCAGTAGCCCAACTTGGTGAGGGATAAGGATAGGGGCTGGCCCTCCTTCAAAGCCCCTTGTTGTAGAAAACCACTTCAACGCTGGAATTTTGCTCACGGATCTGAGCTCGCAGGTCCGGCTCCAGCCTGCTGACGTGGATGGAGCTGTAACAGAACAGCACAGGCCACCTGAGTGTCCCCTGAGCCCAGGCCTCTCAGGCTAAGGGACCACCCTCCTTACTCCCCCATGGCCAGCCTGAGGAATCCTCCCCTTCTCTGCCGGAAGGGCTGGCTCACTGTCATCCCGCACCCTCAGAATCAGCAGTGTGCTCGCCAGGCCTCCTCTCAGAACACGCTGAAGGCCCTTATGGGCAGTTGGTCCAGACATGTGGAGACTTGACCAGAGTCCCCAGCCATGCCCAGGGCAACACTTACCTCCTCTGGGGGAACAGGGCACAGCACAGCGGGGTGGCAAACACCAGGCTAGGGGAGAAGACAGTTGGAAGGGCTTGTGAACCTTTGGCCTAAGAATGATCCCCCCCTGCAGCTCACCCCACCTCTGGAGACAGCCCCTAGGATAGAGATTCCCTAAAAAGGAAAGGTCCTTCAGGGAACATTGAGCCCAACCCTGACATTTTGCTCTGACTGAGGAAAATATTCTCTGGGGCAGTGATCCAAAGCCCTCCAGCCAGTAAGTGGCAGAATCAGGATTTAAACATGCATGATACCCCTGTATATTTCCATGGTTTCTCTTGTATATGGAGACTATAACCCCCTCAAATAGATCCTATTATCTTCAAGTATAAGGGTCACTCCTAACACACATGGCACACCCTACAGGTGTCCAGGACATGTATGAGCTGAATACATAAATGAATGATGCATATAAACATCTTAAAAGCAACAAATACCCACCCACGCCCACCATGGGAAAGGCATTTTTCCACTTTAGCTAAGTCTCTGCACACTTACCAGAAGCCCACCAGTCCCACCTGCAGGGGTGCTCCCAGCCAGGGACGGCGCTGTTGGGAGATGGACAGACAGTAGAATGGCACATGTTCCCTGCCTTTCCAACACCCACCCCATTTCACCCACCAGGGATCTATCACATCAGCCCTGCCTCTGAGCCCTCAGATACATGGCCCTTATCTTTCTCCCAAGCCCATAACAGGGCAGGGACCAACAGGAAGTCCACTCTACTCCACCCAGGCCTGTTTGCTGACCACCCTCTCTGCTATCCCACCCATTCCTGCCTTCCAGAATTGGTTCCCACAGCACTCCTCAGTCCTCTTTCTGTTCCCTCATTTCCTCCAGGAATGCTTTCTTCAGGAAGTCCCCTCTAACCTTCCACTTACTTCCTCCCATCCCAGTAGCACAAATGTGTCTCTTTCCAAACACATCTCCTGCTCTGCACACACTTCTTGATATGCTCCAGCCATAGGGACTACCATTGTGTTTCTCAAATGTGCAAGCCTGTTCCCACCTCGGGGCCTTTGCACTTGCTGTCCTTCTACCTGAAACACTCTTCCCCACGCTCTTTGCCTGGCTGTCTACTTCTCATCCTTTGGGTCTTCAGAGACCCTTTCTCTGACCGCCCTATCTAAACAGCTCTCCCCTGTTAGTCTCTATTACATTGTCCTGTTGGTTTCCTACAGATCATGTATTATAGCTTGTAATGATATATCTAATTGTTTGTTTGCTTGTTTATTGGCTTCCACGCTAGACGATGAGCTTCATGAGGACAGACTATGACTGTCTTATTCAGTACCATCTCCTCAGCCCTAGACATGCTTGGTACATAGTTGGTGCTCAATAAATATGTGTGAATAAATGATTCATGAATGAGCCATGTATTCCTGTGCCTTGCTTCCCTATCCTGTTAATGCATGTGTGCATATGTGTGCACCTGTATGTGTGTGTGTGTGTCTCACTGTTACTGGGTGACAGCATGAGTATGCTATCAAGTGTGACTATGAGAGTCCACTACTGTGAATGTCAGAGGCCTCTAGAATGACACCAATTTCTTTCAGGACAGAAACCACTTCCTTCCTCCCCTCTCCTTCTCCTTCCACTCCCTCAGTGTTCCCTTGCCCTAGAGTTCATTCTTGCTGGTCTAATGAAGGTGGAGGGGAAAGTATGGGGGTGGGGAAAATGGGTAGACAGTCTTAGACTCAGGTCAGGGTGGGCAGAGGGTTGGGGGCTGGTCACCTCTTCTTTCAGCCATCACTATTTCCAGGATGGGAGAACCTACCTTCAGAAAGTCTTTCTTCTCCAGACTGTCCATGATCACGGGGGGAATGGCTGAGGGGAGGGCAGGCAGGGAGGTTGTTAGCGGAGTAAAAGTAGGAAACCCTAAGGAAGAGGGGAGTCCCCTTCACAGCATTTCCCTTCCCACTCTTCCCAGGGTCTCACTGCCCCCAGAGTCCCCAGAAACCCCTGAGAACCGCACACCACTCCCTTTCTATCAGGGCCTTCCACACCCTACTCAGCCACCCCTGCCTCACCCATGGCAGGAATCGCCATGCAGATTCTCGATATCACCACCTGGAAGATTCCCTGTTTGGCTGCAGCCACCGAGTGGCCAAGTCTCTGACCCTCCTCGTCAGTCACCGGGATGCCCACTTGCAGCTCCCTGGGAAGGGAAGGGATTGGGGGTTAGATCACAGGCCCCAAATCCTACCTGCAATGTCCTGATGGATAGCTACTCTCTGGGGCCCCTGGACATTCTAGACTCAAAGGCAGGTGCTCTTGCCCCCAGGATCCTATGGTCAGATTGAGCAGTCAAAACAAGACAGGGCCCAGCAGCTCATGTCCAGGGAGGGACAGGAGCATCCTCACTCCAGGCTAGTCTGCATGGGTGGGATGGATGGTTTGCCCACATGCTTACTGAGCGTACACACACCAAGGGCTGGGGCCACTCACCTCTGCCTCATCAGGGGAATGTTGATGCAATTGGCAGCTGCCACTGCTGCAAAGGGCACAAATCTGCCAACCAGGGTGGACAGGTGCTAGGGGAGGAAAGGCACGAGTCAGGGGCCCTGAGGGCCATGGGGTGGTGAGGGACTCTGGGAGAGATATGGGGAGCCTGTGTATCAGGGGTGGAGGAGTGATGGGGAAGGAGGTGGAAAAGGAGGAAGAGAAGGAAAGGCACAATGGTGGGGGGGCCTTTACCTTGGTGAGGGATTTGAGTCCCAGAGCTGTGGCCACAGCCCCCGTGGTGGCACTCACATAAGCTGTTCCCAGCTGCCTGTGGGTGGAAGAGCCAGGTCACAAGGGGAGTGTGAAGAGTCCAGAATGTGGTTCTTTCCTTCAGGGACATGCCAAATCCTCAACACATGAGGCCTGGGAGGGTGGCAGAAAAAGGCCCTCTCCCCACCTCCAGTGTAGTCTTGTCTGGAAGCCCCATTCCCTCCCCTTAAAGAGGGATAGACCCCCAAATCATATACAAGAAGACTTCATGGCCTGTGTTAGGCAGGGCAAGTAGAGTGAGGGGGAGAAAGGCTGAGAGGAGGGAGCTGAGCCAGTGGCCCAAGGGATACAGGGAACAGTAGTGAAAAGAGAGAACAACAGTGGGCTTGTAACAGAGGGTCCAACGGGGCATTGCAGCCCTTCCTGGAGGACTAGCTCTCACCTGACTGTGATGGGAGCGTCACCACTGCGGTTGGAGTAATTGACAATGGCATTGAAGGACTGATTCACCCACTGCCAAAACACCACAGTTGGGGTCTTCCTGAAGGAACAAAGATACTTATTTCTGTCCCCTCTACAGTGTCCCCCATCCTTGGACCCCTACAATCAACTCCAAAGGCTATTCCTAGAACCTGCTCTGATAACCCCTGCATACTCCCACCCCCTACATACTTACACAAACACACCCACTCTCTCTGGAGTGAAAGAACCCACAGGGCCAAGTTCTGAGGACTGGATTCTATGGAAGTGGCTCTCACCAACAACTATCTTCTTGCCAAACTGGCCCAGAGAGGAAGCAACTAGTCTAGTTCGGATGGAGCACTTGGGAAGGGGACACATGGGACAGGACCTGCCTGTAAAAGTTGAGCATGCAGCCAGTGATGATCATGTTCATGGGCACCTGGGCTGACATGCGGCCAATCAGGACCACCTTCTCCCCTGTGTCTGGATGGAAGGCAGAGTCGTACACATACTTGGCTGTCCACAGCTGGTCTTCGGTGAGTCCAGGGGCCACCACACCAGCCCTACAGATGTTGGCAAGGAACAGACAGGCTATTCTGGGACACAGATTTCTCCAGGGCCCACCTGCCCAGTTTAGGGAGAGTCTGAGCAGAGAACTTGGAATTTTGCCCCCACCCCCAGTCTCAGAATAAAGGAGCTCCCTGCCTCTTGGGGTGGGTCAAAGCTCCCCAGAAGTGAGGGCTCCTAATTCTAGTTCCCCTCCAGCCACCCAAAGAGGGGGTGTCCCTCTGTTTCTGCCAAAATGCTGGGTCTTGGGCAAAGGGGGTTTCCGATGAGTCAGAAAGGGCCAAGGCCATTGCAAGAATTTTCACTTCCTCCTGGAGAAAAGGGGGGTGCCTTGGGATTCAGCTTTGAGCTGCTCCATCTGCAGAGGGTGGCCCAGCAGTGGAACAGGTCCCAGTAGAGGGTTTGTGAGGCACAGAGCAGACCCCCCCCCCATAAATATCAATGTCACCTCTTTAACCCAAACTCCCTAAAATCCTCTGGGTTAAGGCTCTGTGCCACTGTTGTCTGTGATGCCAGCAGATAGGGCCAGGGAGTGAGGGTTGTGGAGTGGGACAGTGTCACTCTCAAGCTGGGGGAAGAAGGTTCAAGAGGTACTGTAACAATGGCAGAGACGGGACCTTGGGGCGTAGGTTCAAATAGGGGGTCACCTGTAGTTCTGCACAATGTTCCGGGAAGCTTCCAGCTGTGCCCCAGACAGCAGCAGATTTCGGGGGTCAGTGACAGTGAAGAAGTGCCTGGCTCTGCCCAGAAAAGTGCTTTGATCCCAGCGAGGTTCCTGGATGTTGATATCTAAGGGCAACTCACCCATTTTCTGAAGGGAAGGGACAAGAGTCAGAGGGCTCCAAGGAGGGAATCGAAGTGCTCCATTTGGGGGAGCCTTTGGAGGCCCTGCCCCGGTCCCTGAGCCTGAGGCTAATCCATTCTAGAACTCCAAGTCACTCCAGATAGGTAAGCAAGGATAGGGGGAGGAGCTATTTCCCTAGCAGTGCCCTGGCCCAGGAGTCACTGGAGACACCTGCAGTTACTGGAGGAGGGGGAAGGAAAGAACGGAACCCAGAAAACAAATTTCCTTGTCCTCTGGCCTGGTGTGGATTTTCATGAGTGTGGTTGATGCATGAGCAGCAACTAACCCCCAAGCATCCAGCTACTCATGTGTGTTCTGGATGCCCAAACATGCATATTATATGCAGTATACACCCACGTTCATGGACAGCTTTAGGCCCCAGCTGCCCTGAGACCTAACTACAAAGCCATTCCACAACCTACCCTTTGACTGGAGGAGAACAACGACTCATTGGCCACCCACGGGCTTATCTGTTCTGGATCTCATACAGGGGACTCTGATGCCAGCTGTGTGCGTGTGCAGGCATGCACATGTCCCAGCCCCAGATCCATCTTTCCCAACCCGCACTGAATGACCCAAGGCTCTCCCTGTTCCATGGCAGGCCAGGTTGAAACAGATACCCACCACCTCTTCCTGAGGCACCCCATCCAGAAAGAAGGATTCAGTAGGTGCCCTCTCCACAGAGCACAGAAAAGAAAGCCTGGAGCAGCCATCTGGTTGTGTGAGGCAAAATCCTACAGAATGACTAATCCTCTCCAACCACTCTTCCTCTCCCACAGGCAGGCACACCCTCAGCTCTCTCGCACACTCAAATACCCACACACAAAGACACCATCATGCACGCCCTAACAGACCAACAAGGCGGGCGCCTTGTTCACACTGGCCTACAAAGACCGTTACACACACACATACACACATACACACAATGCATACCCATCAACTACAGATACGTGAGCCCGTGACCGCACTAAGCCCCACCCTAACATTCCTCCCCACTGCCCATCCCTCCTCCTGCCCCCTCCCCCCGCCCCCGGCGCTCTCCAGAGCCGAAATTGCTGAACCCACAGAACTGAGCATCCACTAAGGCAGGCCTCCCGCTGAGACCTCTAGTCATCAACCCTGGACTCCCCGGACCCCAGGTACCGGGCCAGGAGCCCCGCCCGGGACGGCGCGCTCACGCTTTTCTGGGCTCCGGGTAGCTGCAGCTCTCAGACCTGCCTTCCTCTCCGCGCGTCGCCCCAGCCCTCCCAGCCACCACGCGGGACGTCACGCGTGACGTTGACCAGCAGGAAGGGGCGCGGACTCGCCGGGAGAGTCCATCCCCTGGGCCCCGGGATTGGCAGAGCCTAAGGGCAGTGGGTGTCATTTGGGGCGACGCCCCCAGCCCGGGCTGCGGGGCCCCGGGGACCCGGCCCTACTCCTCCTTCCAGAGCCAATCGGAGAGCGAGGATCAGTTCTGGCCGGGCCGCTAGCCAGAAAGAAGAGGGGAGGAGCCGCCTGCGCTGCTCTCTGCTTGCAGCTCCCTGGAGGTCCTCCAGAGGCATCCGGCCCCTGCAGCAACGGGGTCTAGGTGCCCGGAGAGAAAGCTCGCAGGGCACAGGCGGGAGGAGTGGAGGGGCCGTCCCCAGATGGTGCGCCTGGAGAGAATCAGGTTACCACCTGGTTTGTTTACTTGATGGCTGCCTTGGCAGTGGCCTCCGCCAGCCTGGTCCCCTAGCTTCCTCCCCCAGTACTCACGAGCTGCTGTTGCAGACCCTTGGCATTTCCACCCCATTCACAGCCCCGCTCCTGTCGTGCCTATGCTCCTTCTATGTCTCCAGCCCTTGCGTCTTCCGCAGCCCCCTCTCTGCTCCTTCTCTATAACCCCAAGCATCTCTGTGTCCCCAGGCTCCTTGTGCCCCCAACCCGGAGCCCTGAACCACAGAACTTAGTCCCAGCCCCTGCCCTGGAGTGTGGAGGGGCAGAGGCTCAAGGAACCTCTGCCTGCCATCCAAACAAGCGGATCAGAATTCTCCCTCCTCCTGGTGTCCCGGGACCAGCTGTCCCATCCTGTGATCTTTTCAGAACTGAGTGGCCAGAAAGACACCTTCTGGTGTCACAGGAGGAGGATACCTGTGAAGAAAGGCTAGGCTCAGCCACACACACATACACACACACACACACACACACACACACACACACTCTCACGACTTTCCCAGCCACCATACAGAGCGCGCCTCTGCACACCCAGGCGCCAGCCCCGCTCCAGCCCGCCGCAGGTTCAAGCCTCTCTCTGCCCAGCTGGCATTCCTCTACTGAAGCTTCAGGGGTGACCGCAGAGGGGCGACAATTCCAGGAGCCCGGGTAGCCGGCTTGGCCTGGAGAAGACATAGTTCTGCCCTGAATGCGGAGCGGGAGGGAATGAGCCAAACCCAAGCAGTACACTGCGGGGTGCGGCGGGGAGGGGCGTCAGAGGCTCCAGTCGGGGTGACGAGCGACAGTTCTGGGCGTCCCAGGAAGGTGCCAAGAAAGCGACTGGCGGCCTCACCAGCCAATGGAAGCCCGCGGCTGCCCAGGCGAGCTCCCTTCCTGCAGCCTTGGCGGTGAGGGGGTGGCGTCCCTACCCCGCTGTTGCAGTTGCTCGCACCCCGAGGAGGGCAGGGCCCGCGGCGGCTGGACACGCGAGCAGGTGAGGGGGGCCGAGCCCGAGAGGTGGGGGGTAGGGACGACCGAGCCGGGGACGGAGGGCTGCTTTCTAGATCCCCAGAGCTGCTCTGGGGACTTGGCCCTGGATTTTGCTCAGGGCGTTGTGTTGTGCCCTCGCCAGCAGCCCCTCCTCCCAAGCCTGGGAGAGGGCCGTGCAACCTCTTTGAACTGGGATAAGCAGTCTGGGGCCCAGGGGTCTCTGGGGGCGGGAGCTCTCAAGGGATCTCGACTGCAGCTGTCCCAGGTCCTGAACGCCGGCCCTAGAGACCCGAGCCCCGGGTGCTGCTCCCCTAATCCCACACACAGGAGTGGAGGTTAGTGAATGGCCCTCAACCCCCATTTTTCTCACACTGCTTGAAGTCCCGGGGCCCGCGGTAATCTCATCGCCACTCTCTCAGCCTCTACAGGGGAATGGGGACCGGAGTAGATGTCTCAGATGAGAGCCGAATCAGGGGTGAACAAGATGTTCCCACCTGCCTTGTTGCCTAAATGGCTCCAAAAGTAGCGATGGTGTCTGGACCAGACAGTCCTCTGGCCAGGGGTGGGGGAGGTGGGTTGGCCTAAGGCATAGGAGGGCAGGATGCTCACGCCAGGGAGAGGGGTGGAAGTTCTGGGGGCAGCGGGGCAGCACTCACATCCCCTCCCCAATCCCTGCTCTGCCCAGGCTTGGAGCGCATACTCCTGAGCGGCAGGCGGTGAGGGCTTCCGCGTTACTGAGACCCCAGCCCCGCACTGAAGACTCATGGAGCCCCCAGCACTTGGGGCCCGCCTTTCGAGGGCCGGCAGGTTCCTTCTGAAGCTGTAGGGCCCCGCCGCAGTCCCCCCCGCCATGGCGCACGGTTTCGCATTGGGCTGCGACCCACTGGGCCTAGGAGACCTTAGCTCTGGCTCGCTGAGCTCCCTCTGCTCCCGGGGCCACCTGGGCAGCGACTTGGGCTCCGCAATGCGATACCTGCCGAGGAAGCAGCAGCGGCTGCTAAATGGGCCCCCCCGCGGAATCCGAGCCTCATCGCCCATGGGACGCGTCATCCTCATCAACTCCCCCATCGAAGGTGGGGGCGGGGCCCAGCCTCGGGGGCGAAACAGGGAGGGCGGGGCAGGGGACAGAGGGACCTAAGTGGGAGGGGCAGAGCCAATATGGGTGGGAGAACTCGAGAGATGAGCGTCTTAAGGACGTGGGGGGCCCTATGGGGCCCTATGGAACCCACACACTCTTCACCTGCCCTTGCCTCTCCTCCAGGCCAATCCTTTGGGGATCCAAGATTGTAGAGTGGCCAGAGGTGGGAGGGGCATGGAAGCAGGGAAAGTCGTGTGTGTGTGTGTGTGTGTGTGTGTGTGTGTGTGTGTGTGTGCGCGTGCGTGCGTGTGTGTGTGTGTGTGTGTGTGTGTGTGAGCGCGCGCGCGGTGAATTGGCCGTTCCCTCTCACTAACTCTGCCTTTCCCCAACCCCGTTTTTGTATGTGCTGGGCTGGGCACAGTGGGATGGGGAAAGACATCCCCCTTTGTGTGATCAGCTCTGTGCTGGGCTGCGAGGAGTCAGGGCCCAGTTGGGCAGACAGTATTAAAAGCTTCACGTACAGAATGAAGGTATAGCAGCAAATGTTCAGAAGAGGGGGGAGACCAGAGGGGCTGAGAGCCAGGGAGAGAGCCCTAGAGCTGGAACCTGAAAGAAGGAGCTCTAAGCTTATGTAGTTGCTTAATGCCACTTCATTGCACACCAGTTTCTGTATCAGCACTGGTTAAGCCCTGCAGGGGACCTAGACAGAAATAAGGCTTATTCCTCATTTTCCAGAAATATACAGTTTAGCAGAGCTTAGAGACAGAGCAGTTAGAACAGCTGAGGGTGGGGCAGAGATAACATGAACAAAGACGGGAAGTGAGAACCCTTGGAGCACAGTGGAGCGGGCCCTTCGGAGACATAGCCTAGCTGCAGTGGCAGATGTGAGACAACAAAGAGCCAGTGAGCAAGGCAGGACCTTGAATGCCAGGGGAGGAGCCGGTGGCCCCCTGGGCCTAAGCTTTCTGTGGGCAGGATTGGATAAACATCTCCAGCTTTCCTCCTCTTTCTTGGGGCTCCCCTGACTAGATCCCAGACTAGACTTTTCAGACCCTGTTCCTTCCCTCTGACCCCTATCGAGACCTCTAGGGCAGGAGTGGGCTATGCTGCTCAGGGAGCATGCTCAACCCAGTCATCCACAACACTGTGTCTCACCCTCAGGTGAGCAACAAGGCACTGTTGAGGTCACCACTGTCCTCCTGGTCAGGGATCAGAAGTCCCCAGAGGAATTAGGAGACTTGGAGGGAGGAGGCACTGCAGCACTGGCTTTGTTAGTTCCATTTTCCTAGAAGAGAATCCTCAGTCCCTGCTCAGATCCCACCCCCCCACACCATGTCCAACTATGATGCAAGGGCTATCATACTATCCCTTTAAAGATCCTCTTCTAGAAGTTCCATGACTGCTTTCTCCCTTTCCCTCTCCCTCACTCTAGTGCCCCCTGCAGGACTGACCACATGCTCCCAGGGAGCAGCACCTCCTAGCAATTGAAAGACTAAAGCACTGCTTCAACCTTCTGGCTTCAGCCTGCCTGGGCTGGGGGCCTCTGAGCTCAGAATGCTCCCCTCTGCCTGAGCACAAACATCACCCAACTCCCTGCAGCCATGTTACTGGTTAGGACCACTCCAAGAGAATAAAGTCACTGATAAGGGAGAAACAGTGGGAAGGGGAATGCTGCTACCCACATCATCCCATGAGGTCCTACCAGCTCCTCAAACTCAACTGGTCCCAGAGAAAATGCATTATCTTTAATCCAAGGCAGTTCTTTCTCCTCATCTCTTAGTTCATTAATTTGTTCATTCATCCATTTAAAAAATACTTAGCAATTACCAAGCACTGTGTAATATATTGAGGATACATTGGCAGATGAGAGTTACAAAGTCCTTACCGTGACTGAGCTTACAGTCTAGTGAAAGGAGACAGATAGTAAATAACCTACAAATAAGCAAGTAATGAGAAAGGATGGTAAGAACCCTGAACGAAATAACTTGGGCAAAATGATAGAGCAGTGGTTCTCAAACTTTAAAGTGCATGAGAATTTCCAGGATGGCTTGTTAAAAGACAGATTGCCCCCTAGAGTATGGCCCCCAGACACCCTTTTAGCTCAGTGGTGAAGTCACTTCCGAGGTTCACCGTTCAGCCGGGGAGTGGACAGCCCCATAAAA